GAGCTAGAATTCACACCCATGTTGATATGGCTCCAGGATGCACATTCATTTTCACTAGGCTAATTCATTTTTCTATCTTCAATATGGAATATGATGACATACAGTACACATACCGTTTGATGACTTAACACGGTAGAACCCTTGCTCTTAGTTTATTTGCCATGTGGCCTATGAGAAATCATCTAACTTCTTTAAGACTCAGTTTCCTCAGAGAACTTACTTAACCATTGTTTAAAGTTAATATATGTAAGCTGCTCTCCCTTCTGAAATGGACCACACTCTTTCAATGGAGTGTGTATCTTACTTCTACTAAGCACCCAACCCCCACACCTCATGACCTTCCTCTTGCCTTCTGAAGCAGCCTGCACTCTATGAAGTATGTATCTGTCTAAATAAATATACCTTTACTTAACTGTGGCTTGCTCATGAATTCTTTCCTGAGCAAAGCCAAGGACTCACACTTGGCAGGGCACGTCCCAGGAACCGAGGCCTGGGACACAGCAATCCTCTCATTCCGACATTCATTTTTTCCTGTATCATCTTTCTGGCACCCAACGTGGGGCATTTAAATAAAGAAACGGGGCTCAAAGGGCATAATCTCGATCTGCCTATTGGGCTACGGCTCCCCTCTCTTTGGAGGGTGGCAGGGGGTTTCTACAGCTCCATGCAGATTCTAGCGGCCCTTTCAGGTGGCAGCTGACACTGCCTGCAGGATCTGGCAGAAACCAGCCCTCGAGCTGTGAAGGGGCCCACTGAGCCCACGGTTTTTCTCCCCTCAATCTTTTCTCATTCTCCTCTATCACTCTACCTCTTTGGACTCAAGATCCACCAAGGTGACCACCTGGACATCCAAATTAAGACCACGTGGCAAGTAACTGGCAACCTGATTGGGTGTGCTGCCCCTCCTCGGCTCTTCGAGACTATTTCCTCTTCTCTACGCGGTCTTAGTCTCAGTTTGGTTCCAGGATGCTGGAACTGTGTAAAGGGGCTCAAATTAGGGGACTGTATGAATTCTGCTTTAAAAATTTGTGGCCTGGCCCTCCCCGAGTGCCCTCAGGGCCTATGGCCTCATTGCATCCGTAGGCAGGAGTTGCAGGCAGGGCACTCCCTTTGCAGATCATAGTTTCTTGCACCTCTGGGCGGGGTTGTGGTTTCATTACACTCCTGAGAGACAGTCGCAGGTGGGCACTCCCTCAGCAGGCCTAGAGATCTCTGGTTTAGGAAGTGTCATGGGTATACCTTCCCCCTTTGCCCTGGATTTCTCTTATATCCTCCTCTGTCCTGACTCCTTAGATTGTCTATATTGATACCTGAGACTCATTATCACTACCTTGTCTCTCTCTACGCCTTACCTTTCAGCTCTATTTGTTCCCCTTCTTTTGCAGAAGTCACTTAGTTGACTCGGGGCCTAGGTCTCCTCCCTCCCTCTCTGAAGGATTAGGCCCTGGGACGATTGTCACTTTTCCTCCCACTGCATCACTGGATTACAAAAGGAAGGTAAAGGGCGGGAAGGGGGGATTCCATATGTCCAAGTGTTCCCAAACTGATTCCAAGACCCAGGTTTAAGGAACTCCTGCTGGCTGTGCCGGGCTCACGCACCTTCAGACACCTTCCCCTACAGGAGCTCAGTGTTTTAGATGATCCTTTATGGGTCCACCTCCCTGAGGTCCACAGCTGGGAACTTTTATCTCCTCCGACTCTGAGGGAGGATAGTCTTCCAGACCATCTACCCCTAATGCCCCTTCTGGCAGCTGGGGACCTTAGACCCCCACAAATCAGCTCATGGATCTGGTATTTGGAGCGTTTAACAATAGGGACAGGGTTAAAGAGGCAAAAAGGATTTAGGGACAAGAGCAAAAGGCACAATTCTTAGTGGCAGCCCTAACCTCTGTACCACCTCAGAGTTATCCTCACTTGTGAAGACCCATGGCAAGGACAGGATTCAGGACGCCTGGATCAGAGCCACTGTCTCACCAAGAAGGGATCTATTTAAGTGTAGCCAGGAGGGCCAATGGAAGGACAAACGCCCCATGTATGGGAAAAGTCCACCGGGACCCTGCCCCATATGCAAATGAAAAGGCCACTGAAAGTGAGGTTGCCCCAGGTCCCGAAGGGGCTTGAGGCCCCCAAACTAATGATGGCCAAGATGACGGGGCCGGGGACCCAAAAGTACACCTGGTCATTTTCCTGACGGAGCCTCAGGTAACCCCTGACATGGCAGATAAGAAAGTTATTTTCTTATGAAATACAGGGGCTGCCTACTCTGTGCTGATTTCCCTGGACCCTTGTCCTCCCAGTCCTGTATAATAATGGAGATCAATAAAAGGTCCCAAACCAAGCGCTTGCTAGGAAATCTGTTTTTGCACATCAGTTTTTGCTGGTGCCTGAGTGCCCCATCCCCTTATTTGAAGGGACTTGCTCACTAAATTCCAGGCAATAATCCAGTTCGGAGATCCTTACATGAAAGACACCCACCAAGAAAAATGACTACTCCTGGCTTTGGGAGCCTGACTCAATCCCAAGCCAGAAGAGGTCTCCCTTCCACTTCATATTGCTTCTCAAGTGAACCCGGCCATCTGGGAAACTGAGGTCCCTGACAGAGCTACTATTGTCAGGCTCCCATTAGAAATGGGACCACGTGAGGCTGTAGGCAAGCCTCTTCAGATCAAAGGCCGAACAGAGAGCCATAATCTAAAAAATTCTCAAACCTAGAAAGGATCCTCAAACGTGTCTGTAAGTAGATTGCCAAATGGGAGGCCATCAGTCGGACTAAACTGACCATAGCTGATACTAGGAGCCTAACAGAAATTTCTTGGGAAAGTCTTCTCCCCTAAGTTAAATGAGGGGAAAAAAACTGCCTCTGTTTTACAAATCTAGTCTTTACAGGACCAGAGATGCGGCTCCAGAAATAATACAAAGCACACCAATCCCTTTACCACTCCCAAAACCTCTCCTACTTATCTTAAGATAATTACAAGCACTGAGGTAAGATTTTATTTTTCTTCCTGGCCTTAAGGGAAAAAATTCTAGGAACAACTTGTCTCCCTTTGCCTTTAGATACAAATATTCTACCTTCTTCTCTAGGAACTCTAATTTCACCATCTTTTTAAAATGCAAAATTTAAAAAAGGGATTAAGTAATTTGGAACTTAAGAACAGAAATTCTCTTTTTCATAAATATTAGTAAAAAGGTTTAGCCACCTAGACAGGCAACTTTAATTTGTTCCGTCTGCCAAAAATCCAGTTTAAATCCATCCTCTTTTATAACTAATGGGTTTTACATTGTTGTACCAAATCATGGCTAAATTCTGAAGTAAAAACTATGAGGTCTCTGTTTTGTATGTTTGCATGTCATAGATGTACGGTATTGGCAAAATTAAATGGTGAAAGATTTCAATTTAATTGGCTTAAAGGAAATTAAGTGCTTATATGAATACTCAAAAATATAAAGAAAACTGGCCAAAATGAATTTCAGGTTCACGTTATCTAAAAGTGTTCAGAACTGGTATTGGTATTAAAGCTAGCTTAAGCTTGTTGGTTTAATTAATATAAACATGTCTTTAGAGTCATCAACATTAAGTATAATACTTCTGTTGTACCTAGGCTTACCAGAGGTCAAATAAGACCTTATGCCTGTTACAAATTTGTCAACAAAGAAGGTAACTCAGTGTGGAAAAAAAGAACTTTCAAGAAAAGTAAACAAAATAAGAGCTTTTGGGTAAACTCTATAAAAAAAAGTTTTGAGAATATCTACCTAAAATTGTCTCTCCGGATTTTGGTACTTGAAACTTGAAACTAAGTTAAACAAAGAACTATCTGTGTCATTTATAAAATATTAAAACATTAATTGCTGGGCAAGTCTAAGTTTAAAGTTAATACATGTAAAACTTTCTACTCGGCACTTGGCTCCCAGGAGCTGCCTAAGGCGCTCTCATCCCCTACTCTAGGGCAGGGTTGAGAACGACTCTCAGGTGTTTTCAAAGCTGAATTTTCGGCCCCGTTTTACCCTACTTCACCCAGCCAGCCACGAACAGGTGCATGTCGTTCAAGGCCTGACAAGGTTCCCTCAATATTTCAGCGTCAAACGACTGAACCAAATTTCTTTCACCTTATCTTCTGATTGTTCCTCTGAGAAACGGGTGTGAGGAACTCAATCGAATTACCGGGACCACCCGCAGTCACTGGGCACCGCCAGCCCGGGGAGGTCCGTCCTCCCTCCACACGCCGACTTTGGGCATTGAAAAGCGCGTTTCGCAGGGTGGGTGGGGAGTCTCCTACTTTCGGGCTGGATAATCTTAGTCGTTTATCCTAAGACCGAGTTTCGGCTCTGGAACCCGAGCGGCGTCGGTTCACAGAGCAGGGCGGCTCCTGGCACTTGCGGAGGGCTCGGTACTACTTGGAGCTCACTTTGCTGAAGCAGCTCCAGGGCCCTCAGACCCCTTCCCCGCCTCGCGTCCTTTCCGCCTCCTCACTCGCGCCCCACCTGCCCGCTCCCACACGCTTTGCCCTCAGCCTCTTCCCTCCCGGTCGCTTAAGGGCAAAGCTGGGCAGCCTTTACTGCTCACTTGTGCGACGCTGAGCCTCCTTTTTCACCGGGAGCGCGGCTTTTCCCCACCACCGCTCCCCACACGAAGAGCGCTTGCTCCTCTTTCTCTCCTGGTCCGACCGCCCGAGTTAGCGCGACATACCGCGTTCCTGACGCACGGCGGGAGCTGGCTGGCGAGTCTCCACCTGGAGGGGTGACCTGGCACGTCCGGGTACCTCCCGCACGGGCGACTAAAGCGGGACGCCGGCGACGCGGGCGGGGCCCAAGGCCGAAGTCTCTCGTGCTGCTGGCTAGGAAGCGAGGCGGGGCCGGCTCTGGGCGAGCAACTCGGGAAGCAGTCGGGAAGCGGGACCAGCGTAGTGGGGCGGGGTCTACCCGAGGAGGCGGGGCCTGCAGGCGGGGAGAGACCCGCACTGGGCAGGCGGGAGGCGGGGCCGACAGGAGTAGGTGGGTCCCTGAGGCAGGGGAGGCGGGGCCATGCCAGAGCTGGAACAGACCCTCAATGGGCAGGCGAGAAAGCGGGGTCCACTCAGTGGAGCCGGGCGGAGCCAGCAGGAGTCGGAGAGGTCCCTGCATCTGGGGGCGGGCTGACTCGGAAGACCCGCCCGCCACCTGGTTCTGTTCTAGGCGGAGGTGGCCTGAAGCGCTCAGTTGTCTCAGCTGCCGTAGCTCTGGCGGAGTCTGCGCGATGGGAGACCCGGGAAGGCCGGAAGCGGCCAGGCCCGAGCAGGAGGAGGTAAACATTGCTGCCGCTTCCTTCCCCGCCCCACAGTCACGCTGGCCTCTAGTTTGAGGGTTGCTACAGGGACCTGCAAGGTGCAGGACCACTGGGGGAAGTTTTACCCATTGCCAGCGTAAACCGGGTGTAGGCCCAGCTTCGAGCCGAAGCCACAACCTAGTTTCGTCTTGTCTTTTCGAGCGCCCGGGAGGCCGTCCCCAGGGAGGGGTGAGGAGGGAGCTGGGTTTTTGCTCCACTGCTCTGCTCGGGGCTACCCAAGGGCAACGCTCTGAAACGTCGGACTGGGAAGAGGGGCGCCCCCTTATCTCCTCCTATGCTTTCTGTTCTGGAGGCTTGGTTGGGGACACCGAGGCAGGGGCCGAGGACTGGTGGGTCTGCTGGGGAAATGCATGCCATCTCTGGTACGGTTAAAAGGAGACGGATTCCTGTGGCAGTTGACACAGGTGGATGAGGTGGAGATGACAGGTAGAAAGGTGACGGGAAATCCTCATAAGAAAGAAAGAAAATTAAGAGGCCAGTTTTGCTCAGACCCAGCTAAACTAGCTGTGAATCTTTGGGGGATATTACTTTCTTCATTTATACAGTAGAAGTGATACTTCCCTCACATAGGGTTAAGTAAAATGCTTTATGCAAAGTGCTACGGAAGTTGCGGTTGCTTAATAAAACCTAAGTTAACATGCTCATCATCTCTGCTTCTATATTAGTGGAGGAACATGACAACAGTAAATAAGCCTGGATTCATTAGACTGGAGGGTAGTTCAGATCGTTGCTCTATAATTTTCATGCCTGTTATTTTGCAAATACTTCTACACCTGTTGTGTGTAGTATCTTTGATTTAATAGTTTCAGCTCACAGAGACTCTTGCTTAGCCCTATATTTCTTAAAGTTGTAGATTCCAGATTTGAGATTATCTTTTATTTGATTTTGTAAACATTTAGTATCTAATTAACAGATTGCAACTGCCCCTCCAGCTTTTTCTTCCTCTTTTGAAACAAATACAATTAGTACCAATTTCCCCATTCTAATGGGACAACTTAGATATTTTTGTTTGTGCTAGTAGCACCAGCAGTTATTCAGACTTAACACCTGGAAGTCCAGTTTTATTTATTATCCCTATCTGGATACAGACCCACAAAGACAGAGGCAGAACTTCAGATCTAGAATTAATTATAGTAAGCACCTGTCCCACACGTTTTTAATTTGAGATGTAAGGATGCCGTAAGTACTTTGTTTCTCTAGATATAATGGTGCACATGAGCCACCTGCATCAGAAGCACCTGGAACATGTTGTAAAAAATGTAAATTACTGGCCCTATACCCCAGATATAGTAAACCAAAATCTCTTGGGATGGACTGTATTTTTTTTTTTAACAAGCACTTCAGGTGATTCTGGTATACATACTTTAAGAACACTGCCTTAAAGGTTTATAGACGGGCTTGAACGTGGTTTATGAGGCTCCTGAAGTTTGTAGACTTTGTATGTGCAGGTGTGAATCTCCTGAGACAGGGGGTCCATAGCTTTCATCAGTTTCCCAAAATTAACTATCATTAATCTAATTGATAAAACCTATTTTCAAGATAAGAAAGTTAAGGCCAGAAAAGATTAAATGACATACCCAGGACCACACAACTTAGTAGAGCTAGGTTTAAAACCAACTTCTCGCTCCTGGGCCAGTATTCCATCTGTTTTGTCAGATTTGGTGGGAATAGAAGAATGAAAATGAAAATGCCTACAAATAGGTCTGACAGCATCCAAATATTCTACTTCACCTGAGGATTACGAAAGAGGTGAAGGGGAGCAAATTAAGTGATAGGGTTGGGGGTGGATGGGAGGGCGGGGCCTTGCAGAATGCCAGCCTAGATCAGGGCCTGGTGAGTGCTAGCGGGGGAGTCTTGACCTAGATGGGTACCTTAGCATGTCTGGGCACCTTGTGGGACCAGGTGACCAAGCACAGGAAGCACCATTCTATAAAAGAGTGAACTGTTGCCAAGGAATGCCTATGAGAAACTACTTCACATTCTCCTCAACTGTAGGCAGCTACAAATTAGTTATCTGTCTACTTCCAGTGTTACCTGCTGTCCAATCCTGTTTACCACTGCCAAATTAATCCATCATTAAACCAGTGCCTCCCTGTCACTCCCCACAAATACTCCCAAAAGGATCTCAATTCCCACCAAAAAATGCCCAGCTCCTCTCAGGCTGGCAAAGTCCTGTTCAAGCAGCTTTTTCATAGTAATTGTTAGTTACTTAATTCAGGCTGTTATTTCCACCTCTGAAATTGACAATATAATTGCTGCCAAAATCTAGGGTTTTGTTTTTTTTTTCAATTCAACCTACACATGGATATCCAGTTTCTTTCCAATGGCATCCCTATTTATGTTAATTCCTACTCAAACTCTCCATGATTATCCATAGGAATGATTTTAAAGTGTGCCTTACAATGAATGCCAACACCTGGGGGTTAGGGTAAGTGGGGAGAGTTGGAGTCTGATCCTCCCAGCCCCCCAGATGCTTGGAAATCTTTGGTCCTGAAAATTCCTAACCACTTAGCCCAGTTGATATCCAGTGTGTGAATCCTTTACAGAATTCCTCTCTGTCTCATCTGTTACCCTTTGCTTTAGCCAAATCAGATCACTTCTGTCTTTGCTTTATATCCGTATCAGTCAGTTTTAATCCCAGCTGGCTCTTCTTCCCTCCATCCTTTCTCCATGAAGAGAAATACCAGCATTCTCTCGTCTGCATCCTCAGTTGTGCTGCTCTGTATGTTCTCCCCAGATGATCACATCCATCGCCCCTTGGTGACTACTAATAAGATCTCTACCCCATTAGGAAGGAGTGGAGATAGTGCCTCTCCTACCATAGTGTTATATTTTCAGCTGCCTACTGGGTATCTGGAAACTGAACCCATTATCTTTTTTATTGACTAAACTGATTTTTAAAAGGCGTTTGTGTTTGTAACCTTTATTGTGGCTTGGGTTGGTGGGGGAGTTAATTCAACTTAAGTTTTGTCAAATATCTGATGTGAGAAGCAAGAGTTTTTGTCTGATTTATTCGTTATTCTTCAGGTACTGAGCACTTTCTGAGTCTCTTCTTGTTTTGATCATCTAGTTGCTGGAGCTGGTAACCTCAAGGGCATCTTCAACTTTTCCTTACCTAGCTGTCTAAAATCCAAATTTTAGCAAGAATTATTAAATCTATTTTTTAATATCTCTTAAGTCAGTCTTTTGTGTTTCTACTGCTGATGTTCCTAGTTCAGGCAAGAGATGACAATGCAATAGTCTTTTGTTATTTCCACCTCCAATTTCTCTTCTAATCTAGCCACATTTCTACAAAAATGATCTTAAAACATAGACCTGATTATGTTTCTTACCTGATTAAAAACTTGACTCCCCAATAGTCTCCACAATAAGACCAGATGCCAAAGTGTTATATATCAAAACAGACCACTTTGACCTGCTCCCACATTTTAAAAAAAGTCAACCTCTTAATATCCATTTAATATGCAAATTAGACACATCCCCTTTAACCTCAGGTAAAGCTTGGAGATGGAGTACATTTTTTAAAGGTGAAATTTTTAAAAATTTTAATTTTTTTCCCATCAAAATGATGACACTGAGGTAAAAAACAAAGTGTCAATATAGTTGTATCAGAATGGTGATAGGAAAATAGCCATGGCAAAATTCATATCTATTTACATTCAAGGCCCTTCCAGGGCTTTAATCCCTGAGCCCATTTTCCAAACAAAATCAAAAGTGCAAAACTAATTGATAAAATTGACTTTTGCCTATTAGTATAATTTTTAAAGTTTATATATATAGCATTACTTATACTCACTGGAACAGTGAAGATGTTTTGATGAACACATTATTTTAAATTGGGGTATAGATGATAGTTGAAGATTTATATGAGACTTAGCAAACAATTTCTTCACAAATTTATCAGAAGTTCTCTTAATCAATTCACTACTGGCCAATTATGTGGATTTTCCCACCCTGTAAAACATGTGGATACCTATAGCACTGAAATGCACGTGGCTAGTAGGCTGCTCTCTGATGCATACACGTACACATATTTTCTTCTCTTGTCCCTCAAATACCATAAAATCCAGATTTAGAAAGTTACTTCCAATTCTTAAAAATGTCACATGCCATCATGTCTTTTTTCATATTGTTTTTCCTCCTAAAATATGGGTTCTTAGCATCCACAGAGGGTATGTACCCTAGAGAGCCTAGAAATTTGGGATGTATGACCTCCTCGCATTGTTTTAAAATGTGTGTGGATTTTTCTAAGCATCAGGAAAATAAGCAGTATATCATCTCTAGCCCAGTTCAAAGGTCTGTGTTTGTGAAAGCCCTTCTCTTTACATAGCAGAATCTTTCATAATACCTTCCTAATCCAGCTTCTTCTGTTAACAGTCCACATATTATCAGGATGTATAACAAATGTGACTTTCATCCTAATTTAGAGATAGTCATTTTCAGCAGTTTTCATGGATCCTGACTTTGAGTATTTGTCAGCATTTAAAAACTCCATTCAGGGCTAGAGTGCTTGGTGCCAAGGGGATACTGCTTCTGAGGTCCTCCTCAACTTTCAGGATGGCCCACATAGCAAATACAGTGAAAGTAAAGAATTCTAACTCTGAATATATACCTGTACCCCAGGGACAAAATATATAACAAAAAGAAAAATACAGAATCATTAAAATTCTACATAGTGATGATAAAAGCAAGAACATTTTAGAAGAAATAAATGAAGAACAGTTTGGGCCAAGACAAGTTTGAAACATTTGTTGACTGCAAACCTCAGCTTTTTAAATTGGGATTTGAATATCTCATTTTTTAAGCCCTCATGACAGTTCCCTGAGGGCAGTCATAGAAGGTATTGATTGATCAAATAATTAACCACTGGAGGGGGAAGTTATAGCTCAAAATGGTGGAGCAAGTGCTTAGTATGCACAAGGTCCTGAGTTCAATCCTCAATACCTCCTCTAAAAAGTAAAGAAATACATAAACCTAATTATTTCTCTCCCAAAAAACAAACAAAGAACAAAAAACCAAATTAAAGAACTATTAATTAACCACTGTAATCATTCTTTTATCAATTATTTGAATAATAGGGACAGCCTTTCTAAGGCCAACCAGAAACATCTCAACAGTCAATAACAACACAATGATAGTTTAAAGTGTGTAGCACTTGAGAATGTGCAAAGTACTTTTATTTATATTAGTTTCTCTGATCTTTATAACATTCCTTTTAAATATGTGTCACTGTCTTTAGTTTACATGTGATGATGATCAAATTAAATGACTTGCCTGGAAACGTGAGTAATACTATGTGCCTATTGTAAGTGAACACAATTTTGTACTATAATGAACCATGTGGAATAAAATATGGTCATTTGGTTCATGTTGCTTTCTTCTGTAGAGGTGGAAATTTCAAAAATGTTGATTTTCAATCTTATTTTTACTATTTTATCATTTACCTCTGAACACATCCCCATCAACAACATGCTTCATGATCTCATTACCTATCGTGATTTTAACCTGATAAAGGGGAAAGCTAATGCATTTTGAGAAAGTATTATTCTGAGATTTTAAAATTTTCACCAGTTAAAATCACAGATTTAAACCTCATCAGTTTGGCTGTTTTTCACCAACTTCAAATAGCTTTGGTTCTTTCAACTTTATTTACAAGAAAATCATTGTTATTTATCTTACTTTTTCCTAGAATCAAATTCGGTGATTTCCTCCCCATGTCATTTCACTGGTTACATCACTACCATTACTAAATAGTACAGTTGGCCCTTAAACACCCTTGATGCAGTTGAAACGCCTCACATAACTTTACAGCTGGCCCTCCGTATCTATGGTCCTGTATCCACTGATTCAACCAACAGTGGATGATACAGTCCTGTCGTTTTTATTGGAAAAAAATCTTCCTGTGAGTGGACCCGTGCAGTTCAAACCTGTGTTGTTCAAGAGTGGACACTCTTTTTAACTTTAGTTCATCTCACTGTTTTGAATCCTGGTTTTTAGATGTAGGCTGCCTCTACTCTAGCTGCCATCCATACATACAGAGATGTAGTTTAAGGCAAGGCTTGAGTTCAGGCATATCTCAGTTCTCGGAGGGGAGGGTATAGCTCAAGTAGTAGAGTGCATGCTTGACATGCACTGGGTCCCAGGTTCAGTCCCCAGTACCTCCTCCAAATCAAACTAAACGAATAAACCCAGTTACCACCCCCTCATAAAACAAACAAAACAAGCAGACATACCTCAGTTCTAATTTCTGCCACTTACCAGTTGTGGGATCCTGACTATGTTATTTATATCCTTCAAGATTTAATTTCCCCGTCTGTAAAATGGGAATACTATTACTATTTGACCAAATTGTTGTACAGATTAAGCAGAGTAATGTATATAAAGTATCTGTGCAGTGACAATTCAAAAGCAGCCTCAATGCCAGACCCAGAAGACACGCTCTTATGTATGCCTCCTGTTCTAGAACTTGGAACTGCAGTGTCTCAAGATCTTGTGGCTCTTTTGAGATTGCAAAGCCCTCAATGGCAACACAAACAAACAAAATACTTGACAACGTCTGTTTTTAAAAATCTGCTTCAATATTCTGGAATGAATATTGACTAAGTGCCAGGTATTGTGCTAGGCTCTAGGGATTCCACAAGTATAGAGTTGGTTTTTACTGTTTAGAAGCACAGTTCAGAGGAGACTGTAGACAAGTAACAGGGAAGTAAATTGCAGAGAGCTATGTGCTGTTAGGGACCTAATCCAGCCCTCTGGTGTGGAGGGGGCAGGAAAGGTACGAGCACATTCGGAGAAGGCTTGATTTGGGTGGTTGTGAACTTACTTCACTGATGTATTGTAGTCTTATATTAAATTTTTCAAAAATCTAAAGGTATCCAGTAATCTGAGCACAGAATAAAGAGAAATTAGCAGCCCATTCACTTACTTAGCTCATGTTTATTGATGTTACAGTGACATAGTACTCTGGGAACAGCACAATATGTAAAACCTGTCTCTGGCCTCTGGGGCTCAAGTGCTCCATCTGGGGAGGCTCACACCTTCAAAGAGGTAGTTACAAAATAAGACAGTCTGTTCTCTAATGGCAGTCCGTGTGAGTGTGCGAGCCCTACCTGTATGGCCTCATGCTTTGATTTTGGGCTTCCTCTCAGCTCGTCTTGCATTAGCCTCACCTGAGTTATCACGCTTGTTTCAGAGAGGTAATGGGATTGGTTGAGGCAGTGGTAAGGATGAAGGGACGTGACAGATGGGCCTGGCACAGGAGAGAAAGAGAGAGACAGTTTGAGTTAGAAGTCCAGAATTTAGACATAACCCAATCATTTTGATTTGTACCCGTTAGGCCATTTGTATGCACTTTGTGTATAACTCATTCTCAAGGACGCACAACTCTTCTGAGACTCTTGCTGACTATTTAAAAAAATACACATGTGCCACTACCCCCTTTTAGAGTGCCATCCTTTTTCCAAGCAGTGTATATTTAGGTATGTGCTGCTTTTTTTATGCCACAGAACTTTGAGACAGCCCACAGTGAGCCCACATGCAGTAAAGGAATGTTAACACGTAAGTAGCAGTAACAAATTGGTATATGGGAAGTTTCAGACGAATAAAGTACTGCAAAGCTGTTGGTAAGGAGTTTTTAGATAAGTATTACAGTATTTAAATTAAGATTAGAAAAGAAAACATTAAAATAAAAAAGTGGCTTATGATAATAGCCTATTGGTTGCAGCATTCTATCTCAGAGAGGCACTGAATGGACATCTTGTTCACATAGAAATTTTCCCATCAATATATTTATGGGTCTAGTTTTATACATATTCTTAAAGCAACAATAATGACAATTTTTTTGAGTGCTTATTATGTGCCAGGCTCCGTTTAAGGCACTTTTAATTATCAAAATTAACCTGAGGTGGGTATTATTTTACTGATGGGAAACCAAGGCTCGGAGAAGTTAAGAAACTTCCTACAGCCACACAACTAGCTAAACACAATTGAACAGCTACCAGATAAACAATAAGGATTCAGCCTGCGGAGACTGGCTCCCAAAACTGTGCTGTCTCCCTAATGTGTGTTCAGATATGAATAAAGAAGAAATGCCTACATAAAATGAATGTTTGTACTTTATTTTTCAAGAGGTTATCTTCAGATACCAATGAAAACGAAGCAAAGTCAAATGAAGAGCCACTCCTAAGAAGGAGTTCTCGCCGATTTGTCATCTTTCCAATCCAGTACCCTGATATTTGGAAAATGTATAAACAGGCACAGGCCTCCTTCTGGACAGCAGAAGAGGTAAGTGGTGTCGCCTTCATCAGCAAACATATTCTCTAGTGCGGTGTTCACATTTTTTGTTCCAAGACATTAAAAATTTTTTTAACTCACATTGTAAGATACATTGAACAGGATCAGTTGTAAAAGATAATGTTTGAAATTTCCGAGAGTAGGTACAGGGTTTTCCAATGTTTTGTGTTTAGACTATACGGTTCCTGCTGCAAAAATGGCATCTCAGTTTGCCAGATTTTTACCTCCAATATATTTTAGAATATTTTCTATTTTTAAACAGACTTTTGATTTGCTATGATCACGTAAGACTAGTCTTTACTTCTGGTCAGCAGAATGAATAAAATTGCAGCTATCGCTAAAATATGAACAAGTAAAAGCCTCAGGGACCCTGCTTTCAATTTTGAGGCTTTATGTGATTGTGCAGAAGGAGCTGTCACATGGGGCGTTTGCCCGGGCAATGCACTCGCTTCTCAGCTGCTGGCCTGCGTTCACAGTGCTCCTCCCAGCCTGGCCTTGTCCTCAGCCACATCAAACCTGGGACAGCTGCCCCAGCAGACAGGACAGCTGGAGTATGCTTTTGGTTAGTGTGGCCTTTTCCACCTAGGAAATGAGTGGAACACAGCAAATAATAAAATGCTTGTAGGTCTGGTGAGGACAGTCGGTCATGTGAGCTATTGCTACGTGGTCTAAACTGAACACACCACTAGTCATTGTCTTCATCTTTGAGCATGGTGGATGATACCTACACAGCACTCTTGCTGTCTCTGTGTGTGTATTTATCTATATAGATAGATACATCTATTTGTGTAGCTATATTTGGCCTATCTATCTGTCTATTTACCTATTTCATGAGAAATTGGTTCGTCACATCCGCTGTGAAGAATGCAGACTATGGAGCCAGGCTGCCTGGGTACAAATCCTAGCTCTCCCGGGGACTAGCTGTGCAACTGGGAGAGCTGCTCTGTGGAACCTCTCTGTGTATTCTCATCAGTCAACTGGGCTAACGGTCACCTGTTTCATTGGGTCATTGTGAGAATTAGTTAGATGTGTGAAACGTTACTTGGCACTTAATAAGCACTAAATGAATGTAAGCTGTTATTTTACACAGAATGGGGGAGATTTATACTAGAAATCAGAAGGCACCAATTTTTGAAGCTTCTGTTACACTAATTCTACCCACCTACCCATCTTTGTCATTTTGTATTGTTACATTATTAATATTTTTGCTATAGTGTAGTTAACATATATATAGGAAAAAAAAACAACCAAACCGAAAACCCAGTATTTTCAAATTGGACCATAGTGCTAGGCACACCTGGCTGTCCCTAACTGTCTGTGGTTTTTAGAGTGTTTTGTTAGCTATGGTTGTAAGAACAAATGGAGTACATAGGTAGCTTTTTAATTCATCATGTTAAAAAAGGCACTTGTGGTACTTGGGTTTTTGAAATTCATTTAAAAATTTCTTGCATCCTTTAGGAAACGTATTATGTGTTGTACTATGACTTAAACACTAATTTTTAAAAATTAAAATATACAGGTTGGTATGTATTTTGTAGGCAGCTTATAGGAAGATTCAAATACATAATTGAGGGAACTCAAACACATTTTTAGTTCCATGTATATTTTCATTTAAACAAATTATGTAAATTACAATTTAATCAGCTGTAGATTTCATTGTTTTATCAGTGACTTAGCTTTATTCATAAATATGGCTGATCATCGAAACCTTGATTCAGAAGGCAGTTCTGGTGGTTTGTTTTTTGTTTTTCCTGAAGCTACCCAGGCAGTTCTGTTAATTAATAGTTTATAATCAATATTTAGATTGTGAAATAGAGGATTTATTCAAATGAGATAAAGCTGGATAGAAAGAAAGGTGTACCTCCTAGGAATGGAAAATGACCAGTGTAGTATAAATAAAATTCCTAAGACCTTTTGAAACTGAGTGTTCAAAGAGGTAATTTCAGTGTTTGGGAGCAAGCACATTATAATATTAAAATCTAATATCAGAAATTTATTATTTTATGTTACACAAAAACCAGGAAGATGTCAGTTAAACCTGAGTGAACTCTTAATAGAATAGGACCTTACTTTTAGCTTGCATATTTTAAAAGATGTATATAAATATTTCCTCTTCTTTGCCCCATTGTATCTCTCCCCAACATTTAGCACAGTGTCTGGCATGTAGTAGGTGCTCAGTAAACATTTAAAAAGTAAAATAATGAGAAAAAGTCTTTTAGGAAAGAACACAAATGATTGAAAAGCTGAAACTTTGGTCTTTTTTGGAGTGGCCAAAGAGATTAGGGCTTTATTAGAATAAATAAAAGGACAAAAGACAATTACATCTTTCAATGTTTATGAAGTTATTGTGAAACACAGTTAAGATCTTCCTGAGACAAAATGATATCTACAAGGTACATTTAAAGACTACTTTTAAATTGTTGATTTCACCAAACTCTAGAATGCATTTCTATTAATCCCAAGGACTTGTTCTAATAAACATTTTCAAAAACATTTCTATTCCTAGAAGAAACCATACTTACAAATTGTCTTATAACCCAGGTTGCTACCTGCCTGACATTACTAGTGGGTGGTAAAAGTGGATTAGCCAGCAGTAAAGTAGCAGCTACAGTTGTTTAACAGCTGCCTAATTATCTAACACAATGGAAAATATTGTATAAAATGTTAAAGCAATGACTGCCGAAAGTCATTAGTTTATTCACCTTAGTTGACATATAACACTGTGTAAGGGTATAAAGTATACAACATACCGCTTTGATACAGTTAGTATCCCCAGATATTACCACCATATCATTAGCTAATACCTGTATCCCATTCCATAATTACCATTTATTTTTTGTGGTGAGAATAGGTTGGGTTAATTTTAATATTTTGAAAGTATCTCCTGGCCATCTTCTCAATTAACGGAACGATAGATTCCTTCATAATATTTTTTTGTTGTGTTCCTTTGTAACTGTCTTCATTTTAGCTGCTATAATAATAATCATAGAGTGGCTGGCTTACAAATAACAGAAGTTTATTTCTCACAGCTTTGGAGCCCAGGGATTGTAAGATGAAGGCTCCCGCAGATACGGTGTCTGGGGAGGGCTTGCTTCCTGTTCATAGACATCTGTATTGTTGCTATGTCCTCACATGGCATAGGCACAAAGGAGCTCTCTGAGGTCTCTTTTGTAAGGGCACTACTCCCCTTCACGAGGATGACTTAATCATTTACTAAGGGCTCCACCTCCAGATACCATCACATTGAGGACTAGGTTTTTCAATATAAATTCAGGGTGGAGGGGGGGAGGACACAAACATTCAGTCTATAGCAGTAAAGATAGCATTTTTACTTTTTCACATTTTACTGCTGAGATATCCCACCTTAACTTGGAGATGGAAGTTAGTTTTCCATTCACTGAGAATAATTTAACTCAAAGTTAAATTTTTTGAAAATCTTTTTATTTCAGGTTGACTTATCAAAGGATCTCCCTCACTGGAACAAGCTTAAATCAGATGAGAAGTATTTTATCTCCCACATCTTAGCCTTCTTTGCAGCCAGTGATGGAATTGTGAATGAAAATTTGGTAAGATTTTTTGTTTTATGTTACTTTTTTTTCCATTCAGTAGTTAAATAATGGCATTAGTTGATAATGGCAGTAAGATAGTTAGACTGAGCCTAAAATATGATGTCTAAGAAATGAATTAGATGAAGCTTAACTCTTGAAAACAATTTTTTTGATGAAGCGTCAGAGGAAAGAATACATTTCTGTAATTTGACCCCCCAAATACCATGAAATCAAGTATATTGTACCAATCAAAACTGCTTACAAGGCATGAATGTGAGTTTGATTTCCCCCTTGGATGGTAATCCTAATAGGGAACCTGCACCTTAATACCCTTCTGAGCTCTGTAATAGAGCGCTGGCTCTGGTTTTTAAACCTGTATTCTGGTTGGTCAAAAGGCACGCTTTATTATTAAACAGAATGGAAAGATACAAGCTTCCATCATGAACTGGTAGGGGCTTCAGTAGATCTACTTAGTAAGGTCAGTTCCACAAAGTGAAATGATTATTTTTGGTAGATGTTCTAAAATGTATTTGGCTTTATAGGCAGTATCTCCATCTAACAGGTCAATTTATTTAATTGCTTAAGAATATAGACTGCAACTAAATTTTGGAGGGTTGATGGATAAACAGTACTGCTTAAAATAATTCCTAAGTTCTTTCTGACTTGTTTGTAGCATGACAAGCAATTTTTAAGTGATAATTCTGATGTCTAGATTCTAAATTTGTAGTGTTTACTGAGAGCCCATAGGATTGGATGTATGTTTCCCTTATTTTCTTAGGTGGAGCGCTTTAGTCAGGAGGTGCAGGTTCCAGAGGCTCGCTGTTTCTACGGCTTTCAAATTCTCATCGAGAATGTTCACTCAGAGATGTACAGTTTGCTAATAGACACTTACATCAGAGATCCCAAGAAAAGGTATTATGCTGGGATTTTATTTACAAGGGTTCATCCTATTGCTTGATTATGTAAATATTAGGGAAACATTATTCAAATATGGAAGTTTGGGAGTACAGTATTTTCTATTGCTTAATGTTGTGTTGGGTTAAAAAAAGCTTGTATAGGACCAGTTAATCTTTGGATATTGTATCTTAAAAAACTATTCACCAGCACAGTCTGTTTAGAAATTAAATGTTCTAATTCAGTCAGTTTTGTATTAGACCAGATCCAAACTGCTAATTTGAGTTTCACTTTCAGTTCTGGATTTTATAAATATGCAAAAATACAGAAAAACTACAAGTCTGTTACATACCATAGAATTACATAGAATCAAATATATTCTGATTAAAATCAAGTGAATAACTTTGCTATTAATTATTTTGTTTTTACAGGGAGTTTTTGTTTAATGCAATTGAAACAATGCCATATGTTAAGAAAAAAGCAGACTGGGCCTTGAGATGGATAGCAGATAGAAAATCTACTTTTGGTATGTAGCTTTAATTTATATATGATCAAATTTGCCATGGGTTATACAGTACTATTTTTTGTGATGTAGAATTACATTTCCTAATAATTAACTAGAAACTGGTGAAAAAATAATCTAAAGCTGTTATCTATTCTGTTTATTAATTTGAAAGTTGAAAGGTTAAAATGTCAGTAATAATTATAGGTAAATACGAGTCAGTCACATAGACTAACAAGAATATTAGAGAAATCCTCAGTTTGTATTTGCTTTCAGGAATATTTATTTTCCCTAAAATAAAGCAAGTTAAAGTCTTAACATTTTTCAGAGAACAAATATGTAGATTAGTGCATTCAACTAAGGCAATAAACAGTTTGCAATAACAGACTTATTTTTCACAGTTAAGTTAAATGCAAACACCCTTTTGGATGAGTTGAGATCCAATAACATTTTTTAAGGAAGCCATTAATATTGTATCTTATACATAGTAGTTGCTCAATAAATATTTATTACATTTAATTAAAATAGTCGTATATTTAATTTGAATGGAATACTACTAAGCCATAAAAAGAACAAAAATTTCTCATTTGCAGCAACATGGATGTATTTAGAAGGCATTATGCTAAGTAAAATAAATCAAATAGAGAAAGGCAAATACTGTGTGATATCACTTATATATGGAATCTGAAAAATACAACAAACTAGTGAGTCTAACAAAAAGCAGCAGCCTCACAGATATAGAGAACAAACTAGTGGTTAATGAGGGGGGCAATATAGAGGTGAGAAAGTGGGAGGTACTGTTGGGTGTAAGACAGGCTCAAGGACATACTGTACAACGTGGGGAATATAGCCAATATTTCACGATAACTGTAAATGGAAAGTAATCTTTCAAAATTGTATACAAATTCAAAAAATAAAATAAAAAAAAAGAAAAAGAATAATTTGAATAGTGCTAAGTACCTGTCTTATTCTTACCTATTTCACAATTGGTTTTCTTTACTTTCTGGTTTTATTCATTATGTGGGGAAGCAGGTCTCAAAATTCTTGGTCGTCTTATTCCTTTGCACTCTTGAAAATTATTGAGGACTCCAAACTGCTTATATTTATGAGGTTATATCTATTGATATATCATATTGATTGGTTGTATATATTGATATCTATCTCTGTATTAGAAATTAAGACCAAGAAACTAAAAATAGTTACTTATCAATGCATTTTAAATTAACAGTAATAACCCATTACATTTTAAAATAAATAACATATATTTATGAAAAGAAACACTGTATTTTCCAAAAAAACAATTTGGTGAGAATGGCATAGTTTTTAAATTTTGGAAATCTCTTTAATACCTGACTTAATAGAAGATAGCCAGATTGTATCTGCTTCTGCATTCAATTTATCGCAGTATGTTGTTTTAATTGAAGTACATGAAGAAAATCCAGCCCCGTACATATGTAGTTAGTAAAGGGTGGAGTATTTTACTAAATTTTTCAGATTGTTGTGACTATGTTGTGCAGTCTCTGGAAAACACCAGTGTACACTCATGAGCGAATGGTAGTAAAAGAGATAAATAGTATTTTAGTATTATAATGAAAATAGTTTGACCTCACAGACCTCCTGTGTCTGTGGATCTCCAGGGATCCCTGGACCACACATTGAGAACCAGAGATGTAGCATAAGATACAGGCAAGCATGTATGTCAGGGAAGAAACACACATTTCAGCATTGCCTTAGTTCATTTCGAGAATGAGAAAAGCAGTGGTTCTCAATGTACATAAAAATCACCTGGAGAATTTGTGGAAAAATCCTGCAGCTTGTTGGTCCTCCCCAGAGAGTGATTTAGGAGGCCCAGGTGAGCTTGAGGAACCTGCATTTTGTACCCAGCTGGTTCTCTCACAAGCGGTTTGAGACGCCCAATCTTCAGAAACACTGGCTTTAGAGAAAAACAAAGACAACTGTCAGGGTGTTTAATATGCACTGAAAAGATTAGTGTGGATAGATAATGATGGAAATGATGGACAGGTTCACAGAAAGCATTTATTTCATGACGCTATGAAAGAAGTAACCTAGAGACAGAGGAAACAGAGGAGGGTGGCAGTCATCCTGCAACAATCTGCTTGGTTTTAAAAATATATGTAAAGAACTTTAAACATTAAATATATTGACTCAATTTTAATATATGTAATGAAATTACATTTCAAACATCAAAAAAATTATTAGTTATACAATCTTAGTAATCCACATCATAGAGATTAGCTGTATTTTAAAAATATGTACTACTTTCCTGTCTATAAAATAAACCATGAGGCCTTTACAATTCATTATGGCTTTTAGAATTAATGTTTTGGAAGTCTCTTTTTAGTTCACATCTATTCTTCAAAATTTGTAAAATTTATTCTTCATAATCCTTTAATCTTTTCCAAAAGAATAGCCTTCTATAACTATTTCTGTTACAATGTTCATTCTTTAGCATTCACGTGAATGCATAGAATAGTTACAGCAACAGTGTTCCTCTTATTAACACTTTGTATTAAATTATTGTCTAGGTCCTTTGGAGATAAATGTTCTGCATCACCCTTATGTCAGTTAAAATGTATCAATTATAACTATCCATTAGCTTATTAACAGTAAGATGAAAATATATGTTAAATTAATGATAAATCGCCATCCTAAAAAAAATATAACTCACTAGTCTGAAGAGCCACTTTTATTTTCAGGAGGGGCAACAGAGCATAGTGCACAAACATATGTGTATATACATGCTACATTCATACATGCACCTGCGCTCACAGGCATGTATGGTACACAGATAAATCGCCTTTTTTTCTGGGTGTGGAAGGCTCTCCTTTGCCCATATTCTACAGGAGTCCACTGTCAGACATAGGAATTGAAGTAGGCAGAACTTTCTGCTCTAGTTGGTAGAGGTGGTAAATTTCCTCCTCTGGAGACTTTTGGCCATAGCATTAACTTGTTGATTTTGTATCTTAGCAAAATAGCTGTGGTATTGTTATTAATATATATATATGTAAAATATATATATATATATATATATATAAAATAGATATCTAAGCTTGAAAACATCTTTGGTATATGATATTTCAGAAAGTGAAACTATTTTATGTCTCCCAGGGGAAAGGGTGGTGGCCTTTGCTGCTGTGGAAGGAATTTTCTTCTCAGGCTCTTTTGCTGCTATATTTTGGCTGAAGAAGAGAGGTCTTATGCCTGGCCTCACTTTTTCCAATGAACTCATCAGCAGAGATGAAGTAAGAAATGACGTATTCTTCTGATTATGTTTGTATTCATATTTGGTGTTCATTTATTTTTCTTTCTTCTGAAAGTGCTTATGGTGACACAAGTATCCTGGTAATTAAAATAAAATAGGAAGTCACTTCTTCCTTGAATTTTAAGAGTCCATATTTCCCACCTTCCTCTTACTGTTCTTCCTCAATCTCTTCTCACCCTTAAATGGCATTGTACTCCTGGGTTCCCATCTTGACCTCTCTTTTTCCCTAAGCATGACCTCCTGACTGTATTTATTCCCATGGAATCAGTCACCACCTACATGCTCATAACAACTAAAATTTTATCTTTACCCTGGTTATTCTTTCCTGAGCTCCAAGCCCATATATTCATGTGCATGTTAGAGATTTTCTGCTGGAAGCCCCACAGGTATCTCATACCTAATAGTTCAGAAATTAAACTCATTATCCTTCTCCCAAAAGGTTTTCTTCCTTCTGTTTTCCCTAACTTGTTGTGTGGTACGACTTTCTACCTGGTCATCCAAATTTGAAACCTGGTAGTCATTTCAGATTGCTTATCTTTTCCAGCCACATCCAATCAGTAACTAAATCTTGTCTCCTTCTGTCTGCAACACTCTTTCTGTCTTTCCTACCAGTTTTTTTCCGTCTGTTGATTACCTTCTCACAAATTGCCGCTTAAAACTTTCCTGAGCCAGTTATGTAGAATTGACCACTCTTTCCTCTACATATCCCTTTGAAACTTGAACTTGTCCCTATCTTAGAGTCGACAACATGCATTGCACTTCGTGTATCTCTCTGCTGGACTCTAAGCTCCTTGAGCGCAGAAAGTGTGTTATTTATCTTTCTATTCTCAGTATTTAGCCCATTACAGCCATTCAGGTCACAATTATTGACTAATCCTGGCTCCTCAACCTATTTCTTTTTATTTATTTATTTATTTTTTTCCTCAACCTATTTCTAAAGTGACCTTGTCGAGTTACTTAATTTCTCTGAGCCTCAGTTTCTTTAACTATACACCTTAAACAGGGTTTTGTTAAAATGCAATGAAACAGTATATATGAATGTACTTTTTAAGTGCCATAAAATGCTTCATATAATTACTTTTTGTTGTTTCATTTCTTTAAACTTGTAACAATTTTTATTATTAATGTCACATAAGATTATTACAGAGAATTAAGAGAAAGAAATCATTCAATCTCAATACACAGGGATAGCCACCTTTCATATTTCATTTATTTCCTTCTGGACAGTTTCCTACACTTAAATCTATGCAGCTGTATTCCAACATCATATTTTTATAATTCGAGATTTCTTGCTTTTTTCATATTTTTACAAGCTAAGCTGTTCTTATTTCACTTGGCAGAATATTACATTTTTCTATGATTTTAAGCATTTTTTGGAAATATAATATATATATATACTAATTAATGTGTATATCATGTCTTTGACTCTTCTATAATTAGAAATTTAGGTTGTCTGCAGGCTTTTTGTTTATTTGTTTATTTGCTAAAATGCAAAATGAGTATCTTTGTATATACAAGCTTTGTTCCAATTTCACATTATTTTCCTAAGATAGATTCCCTAGAAATAATATTACTAGAGTATAAAGTATGGACATTTTAAAGGCCTTTGTACTTGCAGATTTCTTTCCAGAAATCTAGTAACAATTTGCAGCCCCACCGAATAATGTATGAATGTGTCTTTCCTTACCACACTCTCACCAGAATTTGAATTTACTTGTTAAGTATTGGACAAATTTGATAGATATAGCTAGTCTCTCATTATTGGTTTTATTCTCATTTGTTTGATTACTACTTAGATTGAACACTGTTTTCATAATGATACCAGTCATTTGTCTTTTTTTCTGTACTTACCTATTCTTGTCTTTTGCCTTTATTTCTGTAGATATACTTTCCCGATGCACAGTAACTGGGCTCTTTCAATAAGTATTTGTTTATTGAATTTGTTATAGTATTTGTTATATTTATCACATAACTATAATATAAAATGTAAATTTTGTTTTATTTATTGCAGATATTTTCCTAGTTTTTCCTTTTCTTTTAAATTTTGTTTGTTCTTTTTAATGTACAGAAACCTGAAATTTGTGTGATCTACTTCTAGAGACGAGTTAAATAGTCACATATATTTTCTTTTTGGCTTTTTAACATTTAACTCTCAAAGGCCATTGGAATTGGTTTAGTACAAGTATGGAATTTAGTATAAATATGGTATAGGATAAGTTAGAATTTAACTTAATTTTATTTCACACACTTTTGGGAAATTTTTCCAGTTCTCTTTGTTAACTAACCCTTCCTTCTCCATTCACTTATGATGTCTGTATTATATATTAAGTTTTCAAGTATACTAAAATCTGTTTCAGGGCTTTTTCTTTTTCATTAACGTGTCAAATTTCATGCCATAACAAACTATTGTAATTCTTACAGTTTTTTATGTTCTGATAATTAGTAGGATAAATCTCATAACTTTCCTTTTTAAAGTATGCTTAAAATTAAGATTCTGCCCATTTATTCTTTCAGATTAATTTTTTTAACTAAAAACAATCCTACTGGGATTTTATTTTGAGTCACTTTAAACCTCAAAATTAATTTTTTCCCTTATTGATTTACCAATTATGAATGCCTACCTTTGATTTACTCATCTCTGTAATAGGTAGCTAACTGTAAGTTCCAATCAATACTTCCTCACCTTTCAGCAGTCTACTTGAAATTCAGCCTTTGGTAATTTGAAGTATTCTCTTGAGTCAAGTGAGGTGGAGTATGTTTCACTAGTAACTTTTTTCTAAGATTAGCTATTCAAAGGTTTGTTGTTTTTTTTTTCTAATGGTTTCTTCTGGGAATGACAATTTAACTAGGTAAATAATCCTTAGAATATAACCTTTGATTTGAGTCTTTTGATTGATTTTCGGTTTTTGTTGATTCATTTAGAAAAATCTAAGCAACTCTGATTTGTGATCCTCTAAAGTGCACGTTCCTTCCTCCCTCCCTCTCCCTTGTTGGCTTACAGAATTATTTTTTTTCTTTGTAGTTTAGAAATGTTGATTGACTCTGCCTTGTTTTCAGTCTCTAATTGTTAATTTTGTTTAGAACGCCATCTTTCTATATACCTCTGGCCTCTTTCTCTTTTTTTGTTTTGACTTTTTGAAATTTTCTTCTGTTCTTTTCAACTTTATACTGTTTGTTCTGTGTCTTGAGATCCTGTTTATTGTATGTTGAATCTCCTTGCTCTGTTCTCCAGTTATTTAAGATTCTGTACCATTTTATATATTTGCATAACCATTCTGTTCTCAAGGTATTTCACAAGTTTATCGTCTTTGGTTGCGTTATCTGCAGTATCATCTCTGGTTTATACAGCTTCAGATGGTATATTCACTTTCCATTTTCATTGCACTGAATTCATTTTTATCTTGAGCCATTCTTGTTTGATTTTTTGTTTATTTTTTTTAATGGAGCTAATGGGGATTGAACCTAGGACCTGGTGAATGCTAAGCATGCACTCTACCACTGAGCTATACCCTCCCCCCATGCTTGTTTAATGTAACTGTTGTATTTTTGAAGTCTCTAAGTGAGTTTTATCTGTTCTTTGAATACTTATTGTTTTTCAGTCACTTCTTGATTTTTTTTTAAAGACATTAAAAATTAATGAATTTTTATTTTGGTTCTTCTTGCATTGTTTTCCTTTCCAAAATGTTTTTGGTTGCAGATTTGTTGTTGTTGTTGTTGTTGTTGTTAATTAATTCTTCTTTCATGTTACTGAACTGAAATCTGCTGGTATTGAAAAATTTTCCTTATAGGTTTTATAATTGACAGTTTAATAAGATTTGAAGAGAAGTTTCTGGCCCTAATAGTCCTTCTATCTTTCAGAAGTTCAATGTTGCATTCCTAGAACCCACTTTATTTGTAATGCCTGACACATCACTGTGTAAAAATAGCTGATTAAATGTCCTTTGACAGTGGTATTTTTCTTCTATTTTAGGGTCTTCACTGTGACTTTGCTTGCCTGATGTTTCGGTACTTAGTAAATAAGCCTTCAGAAGAAAGGGTTAGGGAGATCATTGTTAATGCTGTTGAAATTGAGCAGGTAAGCAGGGAAGCTTATATAGTTAGCACGTTTCTCTTTCTTTGGTGTTTGTACCATTATTGTATTAGGTTGATTCATATGAAATTGCCATTTCATAGGTCAAAACAGATGTCAGCAATATTATATGGTGAACCAGATACCAATACCAATAAATGATGTATTGCAATTATTATGTCATCTTATCATTCAGTTTATAAGTCAGTCTTTATTATATATTAAGATTTTATGTGTACTAAAACTTGTTTCAGAACTATTTTTTGGTCTCATTGACCTATCTGTCAAATTTCATGCCATAACAGACTATTTTAATTATCTTATTTTGTATTTTTAAAATTTTAGCTCCTAAAGGGCAGTGATGGTTTCTTGTTTTGTATTCTCAAAAAACTAGCAGAGTATCTAGCTTCAAGTGTGCGTCAAATGTTTATAGAATGAATAAATGAATGAATTCGTGAATAATAAAATGTAATTCATGGCTTGTAAAGATCTCTGACTAGAAAGGCCTAATACTTAGAATGTATTTTTATCATTTGAAAGAACTAGTTTAAAAGTAAAATAAATTTTAAAAAATGTTAATAGTGCATACTTTAATAGCCATCGTTTTCATACTGGGAAGGGGAAAAGGTATAAAATGCATTTTTATATCTTGAATCATTTTGAGAACTAAATCCAAATGGTTAATATATTTTTACTTTTTCCTCTATTAACACTTTACCACTGTCTTTCAATAAAATTAAAGTTCAGTTTATCTCCCCAGATCCATTTCTATGTCTTTCTCATTTTCTTTGTTAAGGTTTTCTCTCTTTCCCAACTCCGTTTCGTAGTGATGTTCCCCACAATAATCATCTTAGGTGAAACTTTTTTTGGATATTTCAGAACAAATTATATCCCTTTTTCTATTGAAAAAAGCATATACATTCAGGGCATACAAGTGTACTTTAAAAAATACCAGTAATTTAATAGTTTCCATTTCTTTTGGCTACTTGAAAATGTGAAGTTATGTAAATAGTGATACCCCAAATATTTTAAAACAAATGGGCACTGTTTGCCATGTTGAAAGAATTTATCCTAGTGTACTTTCCTGGAACAAGACCAGTGACTTAGAAGACTGATAAAACTAAAACCTTCTTTTTATTTGGAAAATACATACTGTTTATTGTTCTTTCTTTCAATTTTATTTTGTTTTTGTTTATGTCTCAGGAGTTTTTAACAGAAGCTTTGCCAGTTGGCCTCATTGGAATGAATTGTGTTTTGATGAAACAGTATATTGAATTTGTAGCTGACAGGTTGCTTACAGAACTTGGATTCTCAAAGGTAAGGTGTTTAAAAATTTATTACTACTAGCTAAAATGTTACAGTCAGGTAAGACCTCTAAAACACATACTATATTTCACTGAAAGTTTTTGTAACAGACTAGTCTATTTCTTATTTTTTAAATGGATTTATTTGTTTTTAGATTTTTTTTGTGGGGGGGGAGGTAATTCAGGTTACTTATTTACTTATTTTTTAACAAAGGTACTAGGGATTGAACCCAGGCCTTGCGCGTGCTAAGCATGAGCTATACCACTGAGCTGTACCCTTCCCCCGAGACTAGTCAGGTTTTTAAATTGTCCGTGACAGAACCTTGTTTTGCATGAATAAATTGATTTTGCAAAATTCTTAAATGAAACTCAAAATGAAATTCATAACTGAAGTAGGAGGCTGATAAATCTTAGAACTAATAAGCTCAGTGAATTACTTTGTGATGATTGTAGGTATGTGTTTAATAGAACTGTCTTTAAGTAATTGGATTTAATATGCCAATGTATGTTTACCTTCCGAGAAATCCTCACATGTCTATGTTGTAATTTTGGGGTTAATACTTTTAAATAGAAAATTATAATATAGGAATACTCCTAATAATAGAAAGACATTAACTGTCATATTTGACTCTTTGAACTCAGTTGTCTTTCAGTTATTTCTGTCATTTTGCTTATCAGAGACAGTGTACCTCAATTTCATAGAAAGGTGCACTTTTCATGTGATTTAAAAGGTGGAGGCTGCAGCCAGACTACCTGGGTTTGAATCCTGGTTCCACCACTGTCTAGCACTGTGACCTTAGGCGAGTTGCTTATCTCTGTCTCAGTCTCCTCATCTGTAAAATGGAGATAATAATAATACTGCTTACCGCAAATAATTGTTGATGCGTTGGTATACTTAAAGCACTTGAAACAGTGTCAGTGTAAATTGTACTAAATGGTCATATTGTATTCGTCATAAGTACAACATTCACAGAAATTTACTATGTACTATACCATGTTCATTAGAAATGATAAGTTTTGATCTCTTTGTATGGAAATGGAAGTTTAAATTAATGAGAAGCCTTATGAAATCCACGATGCTAGGGTAATCATTACCTCTCTTGGTAATGCATTTATTTTCTGGTAACGACAGAAATACTATAATGAAAGAGTCAGATGTGGTAAAGATTTTTTTGTAACTATATATATTGTAAAGTATAAATTCTTTATATCTTAGTATTTTAGTTGCAAGAGCCTCTCTTTTTACAGATCATTGAGAGAAATAAAGATTATAATTATATTAACATGATCTCTGAAATTTATAAACCATATATTATAATAAATCATTTTTGTTCTTATGTTATATAATATATTTGTTACGGGAAAATTAATTTGCTTACTTAAGCCTTAAAGTGAACGCACTATCCTTTAACCCACCCCACTATCCTCACACCTACATATCCAAGTTCTGCTCATTTGAAACCTACAGACCCCCAGGTCTAATTTTCTTTCAGGGAACTTGCTAACTGTAGGTATACAAAACATGCCTCCTAAGAAGAAAATCTGAATGTAGTTAAAACATCATTTCTCCACAGGCCTTCAAAATATCTCAGTAAGTTCCAGAAAGCAGAAATTCTACTGACCTCTTAGATTTTAATGCAATAAAATTAGAAATTAACAATACAAGATTGTCAAGAAGTTCCGTATACTTAGAAATTGAAACCACACCCTTTGAAATAAGGTTAAAAATGAAAATATAAACTAATAGAAAATACAAGCTAAATGACAATAAGATTACTGTATATCACAACTTATGGAATGCAGCCACATAGATCCTCAGAAGAAAATTTGGACCCTTGAGTGTGTATATTAAGAAAGCAAGACAATTTAAAATACATGAAGTGTGAGCTCAAGGAGCTAGAAAAAGAATTATTCTTATAATGATAGTTTTTGGTAAAATAAGAGATTATTTAAATTAGCAAATGGTTGTCATTTATACAGAATTCTAAGTAGGAGCCACATTAATGCTGTTCTCAGCTTCTCTTTTAGTTTTGGATTAGTCAATAAATATTTGAGTACTTCTATGTGTCAAAATAAGTCACTTAATTTAGGCTGGTCTTAGTTACTTTGTCCATGCTGTGAATGATTTGGATCAGATTTTTGGGAAGATACCCAGTTTTAAAATCCAGTGAATCTATGACTGTTGTCCAATGTTCTTTCCACTGTATCCTGCTGTGTGTGATAACTCACATTCACTCCCTCTTAAAACTGTTTCCAACAGCCAGTTCCACAGTTCAGCCACACCCAGTATATGAATTTTTTTAGAAAAAAAATAGCTTTATCAAGATATAAATCACAGAGCATGCAGTTCACCTACTAAGAAATGTACAATTCAGTAGTTTTTAGTGTATTTGCAGAGTTGTATAACTATCACAACAGTCTATTTGAAAACATTTTATCACCCCACAAAGAAACTGTGTACCCATTAGCAATCATTTACCTTTCTTTCCTCCACCCCTACCTTAACCCTAGGCATTACTAATATGATTTTTGTCTCCTTAGATTTGCCTGTTCTGTGTATCCCATTTCATATAAATGGAATCATATGTGGTATACACCATGTATCAGTGTATGATATATACAGTATACCAGTATATGGTGTATGCAGGGCCAGTATAATGTTTTCAAGTTTCATTCACATTAGATGTATCAGTTCTTTATTCTTTACTATGGCCAAATAATATTCCATTGTGTGGTTATACGAAATTTTATTTATCCATTTATTGGTTGATAGACATTTGGGTGGTTTGCATTTTTTGGCTTTTATGACTAATGCTGCAGTAAACATTCATGTAAAGTTTTTGTGTAGACATATGTTTTTATTTCTTTTGGGTATATAACTAGAAGTGAAATTGCTGGGTCATATAGTAATTCTATTTCTAATCATTAGAGGAACTATCAGACTGTTTTCCAGAGCCACTGCACCATTTTACATTAACACCATCAGAATGTGAGGGTTCCACTTTCTCCACATCCTCACTAACACTTGTTATCTGTCTTTTTTGTTACAGCCATCCTAGTAGGTGTGAAATGGTATCTCATTATGGTATTGATTTGCATTTCCCTATGGATAATGATTTGGAGCATCTTTTCATGTGCTTATTGGCCTTTTGTATATCTTCTTTTGAGAAATGTTTGTGTATCCATTCAGATCCTTTGCCCATTTTTGAGTTATTTGAATATATTCTTATCTGTGGTAATCATAATTCCTGCTGGAGTATTACTAATTTTAAAATCCTCTTTTACTGTTCCTCATGAATCATTGAAATGTCTGTTTCCATCAAGCTGTATCTCCAAGCCTGTTTCTTGAATTCAGAAGTAGTTAAAAAAAAAAAAAAGCTTCTTGTCAATACATGTCCCTCTTCTTGTTTGGGGCTACTATGGATAGCATTTATTCTGCCTTCCCTGATCATGGTCCCTGAACATCGATTTGTTGATTATATGTTCTCTTACAAACTAGGAGACATATTTATGCGCACAGTACATTGTTGGTAACGTAATAGTTTGTAGTATCATGTATATGTGAGTACTTAGTGGTATTACCTGTGAAAAATGCCTGTAATATCTATGGTGTTTTAGATTTCTCAAGTTGTGAAAACATTTTAGTTTGGTATTGAATCTTTCATTTCCTGAAACAATCTTTTTCTGTCTACTTCTTAGAATACCAGAGATGCTAGTATAGTTTCTTTAGGAGGTGAGTAGGTGATCTTAGTCATCTTAGAATTTATCAGC